TAGTATAGAGGTCTTAATAATTAGAACGCCTTTGTGGGGCTCCTTTAAAGCATAAGAATACTAGTGAACCCTAAGGAATAATATTAGGTAATTACTTAGGCTTCTATTATTTGGCAAAGAAACTCACAAAAGCCCACAAGCTCCGAAGCCCAAGCCCAGGCATCATGTCCACGACACCCGGGGCAAACAGATCCTCGGTTCTTGCCAGGTTGGTAAATCTTCGCGCTTCCCTCGCTATGGTAGGTTTAGGGGTTTGGGGTTTAGGTAATTTTAGGGGTTTGGGGCTTTAAAGTCACTTGAACTGAGCTCTTAAAGTTCGGTACATCTGTAAAACACTTGTTGCAAGCGTTGTTATGGCAACTTTGACGTCCCCAAACACGACCCTAAACCCTAAACCCTAAACCCTAAACCCTAAACCCTAAACCACGAACCCCAGGCTACCCGATGCCGGCTCGACCACGCCTTCGCCCAGCGATGTACCCGGAGTGTCCGGAGCGTGACGGGGCTCGTATAGGGTTTAGGGTTTAGGGTTTAGGGTTTAGGGTTTAGGGTTTCGTATATTGGATATTTTTTGACTTCTCTCATAAGGAAACCCCAAAGCCTAAACCCAAGAGGTCTTGTTCTGTTTGGGTTGCTTGGATGGGTAATGGGTGGAAGGTTGGGGGTTTGGGGTTTTGGGGGAAAGTTGGGGTTTGGGGGCTTGTTTTTTGGGTTGTTGGGCTGTTGGCGGGGGGTGGGTAAAGGTAGCGAGAAATTGTCACAATGCTTCGAGGCACCGGTTTTGAAGGGCGGCTGGGGAGAATCAACTCCGCCGATTCGGTGCAGTCTGGAGTCTGTGCCCAACCCTGAACCCTGCACTTCTAAAGCCAAAGCGCCAGGGCTAAACTCACTGGGAGCCAGGAGGGTTTGTCTCGATTGGTGTGTAAGATACCCAAAAAGTCGACATGAAGTTGCGGAATCCCACACCCAACAGCACCCAACTATCTCCAAAGCTTCCTTTATAAACCCGACAAACGCCCGGCCAGAGGCGAGTGGGCCGCCCCTGTCGGAACGGTGCCACCACGATGCGGCCGGGGCCAGAAGCGCCTGAGTGAAGCCGATGAGGCGTAAACCGGGTTCCTGTCAAGGAACAAGGAACTCAGTTTGAGTTGAATGTAACTAGGGGCCTAAATCATTACCCATACGATTTGGGGCTCCTTATTATAACTCTGGTATAACATACCCAAAAGCCCTTATTATACTTTAACCATCAAGGCCGCTATCGTATCGTCATCCGGACAAACGTACAAGAACCCACAAGTCTGAAGTCAGCTGCTTTGGCGCCGGCGTCAGCCCCCGAAGGGCCATGATCCCATGTGATTCGAACCCAACGAAGTGCAGCAGCGCAGCGAACAAGGGCAAAAAAGGGGGCCGCAATACTGACTAATAGTATTCCTTAGGGCTCCTTGTTGGGATTAGGGTGATTTGGGCTCCTTAAACCAATCCTGCCAGAGTTTAGGGTTTAGGGTGATTTGGGTTCCTTACAAGGGTCCTACAAGTTGTTTAGGGTTTAGGGTTCAGGGTTTAGTCCCTTAAGGTCCCTTATAGTAGTCCCCATAACCCATTTCCCCATTCCCTACTAAGCACCATTAGTGTTTAAAGTTGGGTAGTACCAGGGTAGACTAATGACCTGAAGCAGCAAAGATGCGTGGAAGCTGATCATTTCGAGCAAGAGCTTCTTGCCACAAGAAGACCCTACCTTAAGAACCCAAAACCTACTTTTTTGTAGGGTTTATAATAAGAGCCTACAAAAATGTGGGTTTTGGGTTCTCAAGGTAAACCCAAAACCCTAAACTGTAGACCCCGAAGGCGCTCGAAACCCGAGACAAGAGGCTGAGGGCTCTCCAACCCTGAAGCCCTAACAAACCCTTGTGATAAGGAACCCCCAAAATACTGTTGATGATATAAATCCTGCATTACCTTAAGGACCCGGAACTATGGAAATTATGGTCTATTCCTTATGATGGGTAATGCAGGATTTAGATCATCAACCGTATTCACCGCTCGGTTCAAGATCCACGCCGGGCCAAAATCCCCCTAAACCTTAAGCCAAAGCTCTGAGCCCCAAACCCCTAAGCCTGAGACCCTAAGCTCTGAACCCTAACCCCCTAAACCTTTGACCCTAAACCTTGAAACCCTAAACTCTGTAAACCCCTAAACTTTAAAACGCTAAACTCCGCAAACCCCTAAACCTTAAAACCCTAAACTCTGTAAACCCCTAAACCTTAGACCCTAAGCCGTGCACTCGCACCGAAAGGTGGCCTTTCGCATCGTCGGCTCTGAGCCACCCCCACTGGAGCTGAGTGGTTTCAGGGGCTTGGGTGGTTACATTGGCGTTTAAGGGATCCAGGGGCCTAAATAATTACCTATACTATTTTGGGTGTTCCTTATCATGAGTATAGTATAATGGGCCCCCCAAAACCCTATTCTAACTATTAAGGGCCGCGGTCGCATGGTTTCAGGGGCTTGGGTGGCTACATTAGCGTTTAAGGGATTTTGGGGTTAGGGTTTAGGGTGGTTACACCAGCGAGGGATTTTGGGTTTAGGGTTTAGGGTGGTTACACCAGCGCTGAAGGGATTTTGGGGTTGGGGTTTAGGGTGGACACATTAGCATTCAAGGGATTTAGGGTTTGGGGTGGTTACATTAGGCTTTCACGGATTTGGGGTTTGGGGGCATTTGGCACGAGATGGTGTTGATGCCTTCTTCATGGTGTCTTGACTTTCCTAGATTTAGGGCAGGCTATAGGGTTTGGGGCTAAGGGCTTTTCAAGACTTGGATTCTTCATGATTCTGGCATGGAGTGCGCGCTCTTGACGCAGAGGGGTGTGCCTTGAAGCCCTTCTAAACAAAACTAGCGCCACTGTAAAGCCCTCATCACACCCCAAGAGGGGTGGGGGTGAGAGAGTGAAAGTGGGGTTTCGGGTTTGCTTTTGGGGCTGTCGGGATTTAATCGATGCAGACGCCTGATGAATCAGCCGATTTTCGTCAAAGGCCCCAGTACCAGGATCCCACTTGAAGGATCATGGGACTTAGTAAGTATGGTTATAAGTTATAAGTGCCTTAATTGGGGTTATAAGTAGTTATAAGTATAGTTACCCTAATAGTAGCCTTAGTTACTACGTCCCATGATCCGTTAAGAATACAATCTTTCATTGCGGGCGGGGGTCTTCTTTATCATCGGGGTCAATCTTCGCATCCCCTCAACAGTCCCTCAGAGCTGTACCAGACTATCCCCGAATACTTATTCTTAGTATGACTGCCCGTAGATGAAGGTCGAACTCCCCGTGCCGCTGGAGGGACCCTGAAGGGGACCCCAATTCCGGACAGCGATCCCAAAACCCGTACAAAGCCATAACCCTGACGAAACCTCGTAAACTTCTAGACAAACCCTCAATACAGGGCCCTTTATAATTAGAATAGGGTTTTGGGGCCCATTATACTATAACTATAATAAGGAACCCCCCAAAATTGTCTTGGCAATTACTTAGGCCCCTACCTAAACTCTAACCCCAAAACCCTAAACCCCAAACCCCAACCCTAAACCCTAAATAGACGAATCCTTAAAACACAAAGCCCCCGCAAATTTGGAGCGAGGAGCCGATCTTCTCAGCTGCCTTAGCGGCACTGGTCAGCCACCTCCTTGTGAAGGCTCCGATCATCCCGGCATGCATGGAGCTGGGTGTCGAAGTTAGCGTCATATACCTATATATATATATATATATAAGGAGCAAAGAGACAAAGATTATCATAACATATATGCATGTGTGTGTATATATATATATATGCTCCAAATACGACATGATGACATGCACTTCGGAGACAGTGCCTCCTCCTGCCGCCTTGCGTGTTAAGCCATCTCGGACGCACGGGTCCTGGGTTCCGCTATCCCACGACGAGGAACGAACAAAAATAACATGGCCTTCAGACCACCAGCCGGTGTTAGGGAACGGGGAGCATTTTATATAAGAGCACTTTCCAGTTGTTGATGACGATGAGAAGCAGAATGGTTAGGAAGGTTGCGAGCATGATGAATGAGTTTACTTCCTCAGTTTCCAAGAAGATGATTTCCAAGAACAACAGCATGACGATCATGAGGATGATGTTGATGATGAGAAGGATGGTCGGGGCAAAGGAGGTGCAAGAGAGGCAGAAACGAAGTTGACACCTTTCAAGCATATGGGGGTTTCCGAAAATAGGGGAGCTTACTACAGTACCCCAAACAATAGGATCCTTATTATAAGGACCCCAAAATAAGGTACCCCCTAATTTTCGGAATCTCCCATATCAGAGGCCTCCACTGCTACTGGTATGATTATGAGTATTGCAATGATTGTTCTTATGAGCATTACTGTTATGATTACTACTGATACTACTACTACCACCACCACCACCACGACTACTACTACTACTACTACTACTACTACTACTGCTGCTACTACTACTACTACTACTACTACTACTACTACTCCTGCCACTACTGCTGCCACTACTACTGCTACTACTACTGCTACTACTACTATTTTTCATTCCAAT